GTAAACAGGCCAGTTGTCGCCTTTAATGAGGATCATCATCATCGGCCTGACTACGTCCACTGCAGGACAAAGGCCTCTCCCATGTTCCGCCAGTTAACCTGGTTTAATGAGGATACACTAATGTTATACGAATATGATGAGTGAATGAACCTGATGGCGCGGTTCTGCACCATTTCTAATGCGTCTATGAGATAAGATTGATGAGGATTCTAGATTGTGGACACGTACTCAAGTTTTGGTCGAATTAAAGATTTGTATGCGATGGGTTTAACGTGAGGAAAGGAGCTGCGTAAATGACGTCTGAGAAAGCCTAGGGTTTTGTTACTGGATGACATGACGTTGGACACATGTGGAAACCAATTGAGATCTTTGGAGATAGTTACACCGAGATATTTGAAGGTACTAACAGATTCAATAGGAGTGCTAGCAATTTTGTACTGGATAAAGGAGAGGGCTTCGTGAGCGGGTGGCGGACATTAATTTACATTTACTGGGATTCAGGACCATCAGCCAGCGATTGCACCAATTCAGGATTTTAGATAAACTGCTCTGCAGCACAGCCTGGTCGGAGGTATTTCTTATTGACTGGTAAATAACGCAGTCGTCTGCGAACATACGAATAGAGCAAGTAACTTCCAATGGCAGATCATTGATATATATCAGGAACAATAGGGGGCCCAGCACGGAACCCTGGGGGACGCCGGAGGATACAGGGACGGGGTTAGAGGCTATATTATTGATACATACACACTGAGACCGATTAGTGAGAAATTCTTTAATCCATTGTATGACATCTGAATGCAAACCTAAGTGAGAAAGTTTTAACAGCAAGTGTTGATGTAGTACCTTATCGAAGGCTTTAGCGTAGTCAAGGAATATTGCGTCTACCTGTATATTATAGTTCATGTTGGAATGCAGATCATGAATAAAAAGAGCGAGCTGTGTTTCACAGGACAGACCTTTGCGAAAACCATGCTATGATGAATGGAAAAATGCTGTTGGAATTGAGGAAGTTCATGATGTTACTGACCACCTTGTCCGTATCGAGGCACAAATTCATGATGCTTTCATTCATAAACAATTCTTTCTGTTAGTGTTTCTCAATATGGAGAAGGCCTATGACACTACGTGGCGCTTTGGCATACTCCGAGACCTGTCATACCTAGGTGTGCGGGGCAGAATGTTGAAAATAATCGAAAGCTACCTGTCTAATCAGACATTCCGTGTTCGAGTGGGCACTGTGTTGTCCCGTACATTTGTTCAAGAAACAGGAGTGCCGCAAGGAAAGGTATTGAGTTGTACACTTTTTATAGTCAAAATGAACTGTTTGCACCTCGTTATCCCACGAAATATGTTTTACTGCACATATGTTGACGACGTGCAGCTCAATTTTAAGTCCTGTAACCTCTCAGTGTGTGAACGTCAGGTTCAATTAGGTTTGAAGAAGGTCTCTCAATGGGCAGATGAGAATGGTTTCAAACTGAATGCGCAAAAGAGTGCCTGCATCTTGTTTTGCCAAAAGAGGGCCGTTCATCCCGATCCAGAGATTGACCTGCAGGGTCCACGTCTGTCTGTGAAGACCGAGCATAAGTTTCTGGGCCTAATATTAGACACAAAACTAAGCTTCATCCCATACATCAAATATCAAGTACTTAAAAGACAGGTGTTTAAAAACCATGAATATTTAGAAAGTGTTGTCACGAACTACGTGGGGCAGTGACAGGGAATGTCTGATCAATTTATATAAAAGCCTCGTATGCACTCGCCTAGACTACGGTGCTATAATCTATCAGTCTGCGACACCATCAGCCTTAAAGATTCTCGACCCTGTCCACCATCTAGGCATCCGCCTCTCTACGGGCCTTTTACATACCACTTCAAGGTCCACGCTGATGAAGAACATCCCGCTCACTCCACAATTAATGATCTGTCTAATTGTACCTTGTTCAATAACCGTCCTTCGCTGAGACAGCTCTGCTCCCTTTGTGTCAGGAGGCTCGCTGAGGAAACAGCTGTGCCACTTTTAGAACAACGTTTGATGGCTCCAGCAGTATATCTGCCACCATGTAAGTGGCATGTTATAGACTGCGATCTATCTTTCATGGAAGTCACTAAACACACCCCTTTTGTACATATCCGCACGTACTTTCTCGAACTCCAACACAAGTACACTTGCCCAGAATTTTTCACAGAAGCTTCGAAGTCTCACACTGGTGTGTCCTATGCAGCTGTTGGCTCATCTTCCTCCAACTCAAGTATTCTGCACTCCGAAACAAGCATCTTCTCAGCAGAAGCTCACGCGGTATCTGTGGCTGCCAAGCATATTAAGAAACTGCAACTACAACGCGCGGTAATATACACAGATTCGCTGAGCCTAGTGACGGCTCTGAAAACTTTGCAAAAACATAAAAATCCTGTCCTTGTGTCCTTATACTCTCTGATATGCACGATCTATGCTCTTAAACGACATGTTGTAGTCTGCTGGGTGCCGGGGCATCGCGTAATCGCTGGAAACGTGTTGGCGGATCAGAAGGCCGCTCCTGCCCAAGACAGCGCTGGCGCCAATACATGTGTAGCTGTCCCTGTGCTTGATCTGAAACCATTTCTAGGACAGGAGCTCAGGGCATGCTGGCAGCGCCAATGGGATAGGCAGACTGAAAACAAACAGCATGTTGTAAAACTGAGAATTGGAAATTGGCCAACAGTATCCAGATCATGCTACACACAAGTCACACTTACAAGACTACAGGTAGGACACACACTCGACACATTCATACCTTTTGTCTGGTGGCGATGCACCATTGTGTGAGAGATGTGGAGAACCGCTCACGGTTCTTCACATCCTTGTCCAGCGCAGTGATTTAGATTCTCTCAGAAAAAAACACTTCTTATATCCCTGTCGACAACAGATATTCTTGCACCCATCAATGTTCATTGGCAGAGAACCCCTTTTTCCACATAAATCATTGCTGGCGTTTTTAACAGATGTACGTACTTTTAAGGTCATATACCCAGGCGCTCAGTAGCACGATCTCTAAAGAGAAAGTCACTGTCGCGGTGGCTGCATCTCCGTCATTGTCTCACTATCACGACATTTCGCCATTTAGTATTATTGCACATATTTCACGTCAATGTCATGGTTTTAATGCTTCTATGATTTTACCCACATTCCCGCAAGGAATTTTAAGGCCCTTTTACAGCCACCTATCATGATCATTGTTCGCATCACTTATCGGCTGACCTGGCAATCTTTGGCGATCAAATGGCCCTTGCGCCATAAAACACCACACATCATCATCATCAGTTTCTGTTTTTAGGCAACCTTTCATTCTTCTGACAAGGGCTTTACAGCTTTGGTACACTCGATTTTGATATTTTTTGTCTTGCTGAAAAGCTGGATGCTTATTGAGTGCAAGAAAGTGCTACATGTAACTATAGCACACCATGAAATTGTAGAAAAAAAAAAAATACGAAAATTATTTTTTCTAAATACTGAAAGGATGAGCTTAAAAGCTCATCCTCCCATCAAATGGCCAAATGGCCCTTGCCAAATGGCCAAATGGTCCTACAACTTATGTTGTAGGAAAACAAAAGCCATGAAACTTGCTTTTTGTACTATTTGCTAATTGTAGAGTGCAATGACATTTAATTCTGCGGGATCTCTATACTGGATTTATTGAAAAGGTGAATGAAAAAATAATTATTGGCTAATCAAAAACAAAATGGTAAGAGGTAGATAAGAACTGAGTTCATATTTGACATCTGCACATGTAAATACAATATCTAACAAGTTTTCATCACGCTAGCTTAAATAATAAGATGCCTGATGGCTAAGTGCCTTTTCCCCCTTTAGTTGACATGAATCGTTGATATATTCATACATGTAACTGAGTAAAATAGACCTGCACATAACAGTATCTGGTGTACCAATATCACTGTTGTGGGCATGTTTTAATGACTGCTGTAGGATTGTCACAAGGCTAATAAATCGAGGCGCTGTCATGTTGGTTTGTGAGTGAACTCACGACGTCAACATCATCAAAAAGAGACGAGACTGCTGATACAGGAAAAGAACCAGTCAATATGTTTACAACTTCAAGACATATCAGATATTAGAAAGTGTGGAAAACCAAAACCACAGAGACGGCATGCAGCTATTTGGCACGAATAGAGCAAGCTCAAGAGAGTTTTACAAAAATAAATCGCCATTCTTGATGAATGGCACTGACGCAATCGAGGAAGGTGCACATGCAGACATCCGTGTGGCAGGTGAGATTGTCGATACACTCCACCGTTGATGAAGGTTCACAAGGATGCGCCTGGCAAGCTATGGCATTCAGCAGGCACAGCCCAAGTGTCACACAGGGGATGCATGTCTTGTGTTGCCAATTCCAGGTGATGTGAAGGTTGAGTCTGTGCCTAGGTGGGATTTTGTAGCAACTTTGACGCAAAAACTTTGCAAGCCAATACTCCCGTGCCCTCGTCGCTCTATCTTCACTTTGCCAAGTGTTGGCCATGTCTCCTTTGTTCTACCTCGCGCTTTCTTCGAAATCCCTGTGAGGTTTGCTCATTGGTTGAGTGTGTCTCATGCTGACCCATGCCACTGCTGTACATCATTTTCCTTTTCAAATCAGAGCTTTTCACCACTCTCACACTTTATTAGAATGCACACTTCCCTTCACAAGATTAAAGGCATTATTAAATGATCTCTAGTTTACCTACCCTGCAACTTTTATGCCTGCAACTTTTGTAGTTTCGTGCAGTAAATGCAGCCATCCTCAGTCGCACTTAGCATTCATTGGTAATCGTCCTATCTAAATGAGTTATCCGTCCCACACCTTATGTGGCCACCAGAGGCATATTCATGTTCATCAGCAAAATATGCATTATGTTTCATCAGATGTACCATTATTTCTTGTGTTTGAATAGCACATTCGTTCATGAGTTGTTGAACTGATGGACGAGCCAGTTCAGTGAAGCTTGTGTGTTGCCGTGTGCAGCTTCCAAAAGGCTATAGCGTTTGCCCGAGCATCTGAGTACGACGCATTCCTGGCAGTGGGCGGTGGCTCCACCATCGATACGTGTAAGGCTGCCAACTTGTACTCATCCAACCGTGACCGAGACTTCCTGGATTTTGTGAACGCTCCCATTGGTCGTGGGGTTCCCATACCATCAAACCTCAAGCCGCTGGTTGCAGGTGAAGTAGCCAAGTTATTAACGAGTGCGACATTTAAATCTGTTCTGTCCTGCTTGCCTCATTTGTTCATAAACTGTGAAGAAATATTCCAATATGTATAATGGTGTGACGCTTGGAATGAAGCATTGAATAGGAGGTGCAGCAACTGGAGTCATTCAATTCTGTTCTGGTAATTGATTTTTAGGTGTACCCACTAGAAAGCAGCTAACCACAGAAGCGTGTTGTCATGCTTTCTAACCTGTTCATTTCATGATCAACTATTAGAATAAACCAGCTAACCCCCTAAATATATTGTACTTATTAATTTTATTTCCTTCATTTCATGTTGATGAAGTTTTGTTGGCGCATTTCATGAATGTGTTCTTGTTCATTTTATGTACCTCAATTTTATACCCTTTTATCACCCATCAGTTTTAACCGACTAGTCGTCATGGTAATGTATGTGTTATGCTACTTGTTTTGTTAAGGAAGCATGAGGGGGAAAAATGTTTATGTCATCAATGCATTTTCTCAGTCAAAATTGACAAAGCAGTTGCTTATGCATGCATTCTTTCCGTCCTCATCAGCTGTGTATTATTATAAGTTGACTCTCATTGAATCATTCTTAAAAGGACCTCTGAATTTTGTTTGAATTATCAAGAAGTTTGAATTATCAGAAGGTCTCAGATAGATGACTCTGGGTGAGGTGACACCACAAATTATGATTAGGTATTGATTTTATCATATTAAGAATTTTTAAAGTGTTTTTAAACCATAACTGCATGCAGTGAACAGAAAGTAGAGATGCAAGTAATTGGCCAAGCTTATTGGCCATTTACTGCTGTTCAGACCTTTTAAGGAAATTGTGAATTGCCAACTGCTTCTTTGCTATATGTGCCTTCAGCACAAAGCTTTTTATACCAGTTGAGAAGCGTCACGGTTTACTACGCGTGTGCTTCGTTTCAAGCATTTGTTTTCTAGCAAAGCCTTTTTCCTTGAAGGCCTGGAGCGCTCACTTTTCATTTTTAGACTGTTAGGTTTATATATGCATGCAAATTTTTAAATAGTAGTGGGAAATCAGCAGATTTTTTCTAGTATGAAACTGCAAAAAGTATGAATTAACCAAATGATGGAGTTTGAATTAAGAGGCTTTTAAATACATTGAAAGAATAGAGGGCCAACCTCAAAATTGAATTTTGTTTCAATTAACTGAAAGTATGATTTATCAGAGTTTTAATTATTACGAGTCTGCTGTAGTGGCTTTTTGCTGCGGTGTTTCTTTTATGGCAGCTGCAAAAAAAGGGTCCTCTATAGAACAGTGGAAAAAAAAAACTGGGTATTTTTGCGCTTTCTTTGCTCCCTTTCAGTATTCAACTACAGAAGTACGATGCTTCCATACAGACGCATTCCCAAAGCAGGTCAACTGCACTGCAGCAACCTTACTGAAAGAAAAAAATGTCCTTTAAAGCCATTCATTTCTTGTCATTCATTGCTGTTCCGAATTTCCTGGTGCTTCTCCATGTCAGTAAAACAGTGGCTACGGTGCTCTGCTGCTGAACCAAAGGTCGCGGGATTGATCCCGGCCGTGGCGATCACATCTCGATTGAGGCAAAATGGAAGGGGCCCATGTACTATGCGATCTCAGTGCACGTTAAACAACACCAGATGTTATAAATTTCCAAACTCCTCCTCTACCGCTTCCCTCATAATCATCTTGTGGTTTCATGACATAAAACCTTAGATATTATTATCATTACTCCTGGTGCCTGCATTGTGGTTCTAGAGCAAACCATTTTTTATGAGGTTCAGTTGTGTGCCATGAAAAGTGCATGTTCAGGTTAGTTTTGAAAAATATGGCTGCTGTTCTTCGTCTCGTGTGCAGGAATTTGATTAATTTTAATGTGTGTCGCAATTCGACAGACACGTCCTGAATGTGAGTGCGTTATTACAGACCGACGTACTGCCCTGCTTCGGGAGCATCATTAATTTCTCCTGCTCACAGCTTGTCTGTCGACTTGCAGTGCCCACAACAGCTGGCACAGGCAGCGAGACGACAGGTGTGGCCATCTTTGACTACCTACCCCTGCGTGCTAAGACAGGCATCGCACACCGCGCCCTCAAGCCTACACTGGGAATCGTTGACCCACTGCATGCGCTCCACATGCCCGAGAGAGTGGCTGCCTACAGTGGATTCGATGTGCTCTGGTAAGAAAGCTACTCTTGCCTCATGATGGCTATGCTGTCCAGCATAACCTCTTCTGGAGATAGCTTTTTAATGTTACCGTATATTTTCAACTAGAAGTCGACCCCCCAACTTGCAACATCTTCTAGAAAAAAAAATGTTGACTCAAACACAGCCTCATGCTGCGGCCATAGCTCACCAATAAGTTTTTCATAAGAGGTAGCGATGCAAAGAAACATTCATTTGCGCTTGAAACATTGCTTACGACTCGTTGCAGTTGAGGGAAGGATGCAGTCACGATCATTGTCATCGTGTGAGCCACTGCTGCTGCTTGCCGTCAGAAGAGGTGGTCGTAGTACTGAGATGCCGCAACTAGAAAACGCCATGAGAACCTCATCGATTGGTAGTCTATACCAGGCATCGTTGACCCATTGCACCACTTCAATAAAGAAAATGCGCATCAGCTTCCCTGACGTTGTCTTCAGGTTTTCTTCTTGGAGCAGTTCATTGTAAAACAGGCACATGCGGTCTTTGAATGGCTTGCTCCAATACCATGTCTATTGGCTGGAGAATAGGTGTCAGTTTGCCTGTAGTGATGACCAACTCACATCCAGAGTCTGCTACCACTTTCTTCGATGCAGTGTAGCGGTGGCATCATGGTGATCGTTGAGCAGTGTTGCAAATTGTGCACCCCAGTGTTTGCATGCGCAGTGAAGTGAAGAAATGGCAAACAGGCAGGAGTGCACTATGACTCGAAGACAGTGTGCATGTGACTGATCATGTGGTTTTGTTCCCTGCAAAGTGTTGACACTGCGTTGCCAACTTCTCCGTGGAACAGTGACAGTCTATCAACAAATCATTTCTATTGACAAACAAAACTGCAAGGTGTATGCCAAAATAAATTACTCTTTTTTTTTCCATAGAGCATAAGTTAGCTCTCCATCAAGGATTTGAAAGGATGCTCTCGAGACCTTGTTTTTCAAGCAGTTCGCATTGAAGCCGTGCGGCAGTGGTCTTTAAAATGTGCTCCATAGTTTTGTTTTAGTTCTGCAATCAACGCAGCAGATCGAAAAAATGTCCGGCTTCAGAAGTAGCATGTGCACGTTGGGAGGTTCCAGTTTCCGCGACTCCGATGCCTCTGCAGTTGATGTTATCGATGTGTCGAATAGCTGTGAATCCGGGGACCCCACAGATAAGTCGACTTTATGATTCCGCATATAAGTTGACTCCAAGTATAGGTCAACTCTCAAACTTTGGATGTTCGTTTTATAAAGAAAGCATCGAATTACAATTGTCCATATACAATAGGTTTACTAAACCCACCCTGATTCCTTTTCAGGACATGCAGAGCAAACAAAGTTCAGTTTACTTTCTTTAAAAGAAAGCACAAGGGACTAGAGAATTGAGTTCTGTTAATGAGCTGAAGAGGTATAAATAAGATTGTTATTAATCAGCAATGTTATATACTGAGAGACAAAGCTGGTGGTTGCATAAGAGGTTTTTTTCAAGCACTTACTCTACAGCATAGAAAAAAACCATTAATTGCATAGTGCAAAAAGGTTATTAGCTACTGATTAGTATTACTCATAGCAGGTTACTGCATGAAATTAAATGTTCTTGCAGCCTTGTTGGCTGATGTTGGCAAAACTGAGAAGGTAAATAATGCTAAGTAGTATTCTCTGAGCAATGCATGGTACCTAAAGCCAACTTCAAATCAGCAGCAACGGATCATCCATAGCCAACGGAGGACATGAAGAACCTGTGTGTATCATAATGTCCCTGATGCGTATTTCAACACAACTGATATTGCCCGTTTAGTTTCATTTTCGCTGATGCTTACAGAGTTATTAATTTCAATGGAACCATCCAATGCACATTCTTTATTTCTGGCATTGCTTGAATGCAAAATAAACCAATGGCGAAGACAGTGCTGTAATGAAGCATAAGTTGCATCGAAGTGATTTTTATTTACCATGTTTTTACTTTACTTCAAAATAGAATGTACCACAACGTATGATGCTACTTTTTTTCTGGTTACCGTGGCAACAGAACACCAGCACACATCTGCTGTCTCTGTGTGTTCACACAGCTTTCTTTCATGTTGCTCTGCAGCCATGCGCTTGAATCGTACACGGCCATTCCTTTCAACAAGCGCACACCCTGCCCACCCAATCCCATACAGAGGCCTGCCTACCAGGGCAGCAACGCCATCAGCGATGTCTGGTCACTCTATGCACTACGCATCATCAACAAGTACTTCAAGAGGTACGTACAGCCTCCCAATTTTTTAATACACACAGTATCACTAAAGTGTTCATCACAGGCAATGCTAGTGCCTTATAAGCATTATCATAAATGTTTAACTTGCTGAGTTTTTATGCTGAGTTACCTTTTCTGTTCTCGCAGAGCCGTGTACGACAAAGGGGATGTCGAGGCTCGTTCTCACATGCATCTGGCCAGCGTCTATGCTGGCATTGGCTTTGGCAATGCTGGAGTTCATCTCTGGTGAGCTGGTGGCTTGATGTAGTTTCACGCTTGTGGTCTGAACTCACAGGTCATTAACTATCACCCAGGGGCTAACATTGTAGACTATTGCATTCTCTTTAACATATTCACCAGAACACAGCGAGTTCACTGTGTGCTGGGATATTTAGGCGGCGTAACAAACCATTCATTGCAAGTACAATGAAGCAAAGCCCTAAACTGCCATGCTAGCAGACGTACCGTATTTACTCGATTCTATCGCGCCCTCGATTGTAACGCGCACCCGGTTTCCACGACGAAAAAAAAAAAAAAAAAGTAAGACATCGATTGTAACGCGCATTCATTTTTCTCGTTGGCCCGCACGATCACATTACTGGGGAAAACGACTCCTTTCGGGAGCCTCTTCCATTTAAATATGAGGTACGGGGGAAGCTTGTGCCGATCTGACGTGTAACAGAGCATTGCTGTCACTCTAGTTTTACTGTGGCCAGATGTCAGCGCACGAACTTGCTTCGCCCCCTTCTCCTCGCTGGTTGTGGTGCCAGGCATGTCGAATTAAAGAGGCGTCTGATCGGCATTCCCGATTTGCCCAAGCAGGTAGCCGTTGTTCTTCTGCAAGTTTAGGACAAACCTCTGAAAACTGTGAAGCTTTTTTTCGCACTCCTCCAGCAACTTCTGGTTGTCCAGCACCTGCTCGCTTCGAACTGGCATCGGGTTAGCCCATTTTTTAAGGCTGACTGCATAGCCCGCACTTGGAGCAGTTCTGCCGTCACGGGCGGCTGTGCCACTCGCTGCTCAAGCACATACTCGGCGAGCAGCTCTTTGATTTGTGGAAACCGACTCTACTGTGGTCCACTGAAGCCTTTACGTGAAGCTTTGCTGTCGACAATCTTCTGCTTTTGTTTCTGCCAGTCCAGCAAACACGTTTCCGGAACTCCGAACGACCGCGATGCGGCCCCATTTTCGTTTGTTCCTGCACACGCGATGACTTTTCTTTTAAAAGTGGCATCGTGGTGCACTCGTCGAGTTTTTGGAGCCAGCACTTCCATGCCCTCGATGCTAATGCACTACAAGATGAAGAACTCGGCACACGTACGAAGTGCCACACAAGGGAAACACATTGGCAGAAATGGCCGACGCGCCATGCCGACCCACGTAGGGGGCAGCCATTTTGGAAATGCCGATGGCAATAGAATGACCGTATCAATTTTTTTTTTGTACTCGATTCTAACGCGCATGTGACTTATGAACTCGCTTAACCGGAAAAAAATGCGCGTTAGATTAGAGTAATTATGGTATCGCAAATAAGATGCGAAATTTTCCAGCCTGGCCGTAAACATGTTTCGTGCTACAACTAAGTGCCGAGCACTAATTTGGAGGCTCAATTTTTGACTGGAGCAGCTATACATTGAGATGAGACAGTTATCATCAAAAACTCCTGTGTCCATGTGCATTCCATGCACGTCAAAGATGCGCTGATGGTTAAAATGCATTGGAAACTTTTTTGTGCTCCCCGCAATGGTACCTGCGCAAGTAGGCGTTTGGTGCGTAGTGACACCACGGACCCGAGCCTAACAAGGGAGTTTGTACTCCCTTCCATGCCTAGCCGTGCATGGCTTTGTCGTGTCAGGGGAAAAGAGGATCCTGGGGGTTGAGCCGACGCCAGGTGATTGGACCTTTAAGGCTCAGAAGGCAACACACCCCTTTGGCCCCAGCTTCACGTAGACGGCACCCCTGGGCTAACCCACCCAGGGGAAATAGGCAGTCGCCTCTTCCTGTTTCCTTCTCTCTCTCCATCTTCGTCTTTTCTACTACTTTTGATCTTTCCTGTCCTGTCCTCACTTCTTTTTACTTCCACGATTCTCGGCGGCAAGGGTCAACCTGGTGTAGATATTCAACCTTCGATAGGTATTGTTATGAGACAATGTCCCACAAAAGCGGTTAGATAGGTGCAGGAGAAAGACGACATGATTTTGATGTAGGGCCCCCTTTGTGGATATGCGCCAGGGTAGGAAGGATCATCATCTTCAGCTCTTGTTCTCCATCTTGGCTTGCTCGTTGGCGTGGCGTAAATATATCTTGAAACGCCTAGTATCGCGTGTACCTTCACGTAACATTTTGGTGGAAGGTGCATGGTTACAACGCACGACGGAGTTATGCAGCGGACGCCTAGTCTCTGCTTCCGACATGTCCACCGGCAGCAACGCTTCGTCAACTGCCACGCCCAATGCATCAACGGCGCCGACCTCCTCTCTTTTTCTCGTGGCCGCTCCACCCCGCGATCCTGGCAACTTTTCGGGAACGGAAGGCGAGGACGTGGATGAGTGGCTTAAACTCTACGAGCTCGTCAAGCCAAAATCACAGGTGGGACCCAACCTTGATGCTGGCAAACGTCATCTTTTATTTACAAGGAACGGCCAAGGCATGGTTTAATAACAATGTGGACGCGATCACGAGCTGGGACGTATGCAAGACCAAGTTACGCGAGTTGTTTGGTCAATCTGCCGGCTGCAGGCAGGCCACTAAGAAAGAACTTGGCACACGTGTTCAGACGTCCACGGAATCTTACCTGACGTATATACAAGATGTGCTGACCCTCTGTCGTAAAATTGACCAAACCATGGCTGAAGCAGACAAAGTAGCGCACGTGCTCAAGGGCATCGCAGACGATGCATTTAACCTCCTTGTGTGCAAAGGCTGTTCCACCGTGCAAGATGTTATCTTGGAGTGCCAACACTTTCAAGAGGCTAAAAGTCGTCGCATTGCCCACCACTTTACGCGCCTCCCCAACACTGCTCCAACGTCAACTTGCGAGGATCTTCGAATAGCGACCCAGTCCAATTCACAATCTGGTGACATCACGAGAATCGTACGCCGCGAAATAGAGGCCATATCACCAGCACCCTTGAGAGCACTAGCACCGAGTGATCCTCATGCGACCATTTCGCTAATACAGACCGTTGTTCGCCAAGAACTAGCCAACGCGAGTATTCACACGGTCTGTTCTGTGCACCGTCCCGACGCTGTCAGTTCATCTACCTCGAGCCACCCACAGCATTATCGCCGCCCTGCTCCGCGTAACCGTGACCCGAATGCGTGGAGGACGCCTGACGACAGGCCGATTTGCTTTCGATGTGAACGAGTGAGACACATTTCCCGCCATTGCCGGAGCACGTGGACCTCACCGTATCAGGCAAACTCAAGCTTCTCCAACCTCCACTCACCAGCCCATCTCTATGGCCAGGAACTACCACGGCGTGAAGGCTCAGCTAATTACGACCCGACCACTATGATCACTGCCCAGTACAGTCGTTCACCTTCACCTCGACGTAGATTTTCCCGGTCTCCACCGCCACCCCGTTCCCTGTCCCCATCCTCTGCCCGGCGGTTTTCCTGGGAAAACTAATGGCTGCAGCTCCTGGAGGTGACGCTGCTGATACGACTTGCTCTCCAATTCCTCTGTTGACGCTGCCGACCAATCAGAACCTGATTGATGTTGAAGTGGACGGTTTATCTGTTAAAGCCTTGGTGGACACTGGCGCCCATATTTCTGTGATGAGCTTGCACATTCAGTAACCGCTTGAAGAAAGTCCTTATTCCAGCCCCTTCACGCAGTGTTCGTGTTGCTGATATAGGTACGGCTTCTGTTATTGGCGTCTGTACTGCACGCGTCACTATCGCTGGCCGCCAAACTTCAGTTCTCCTCACTGTTCTCTCTCACTGCACTAATGATGTGATCCTCGGTCTTGACTTTTTGTCCACTCATTCAGCCCTAATCGACTGTTCAGCTGGTACTGTGCAACTTGACCTACCGTGTTCGATTGATCCGCCCAGTCCACCCCAAGCTCGTATGTGCTCTGCTGAGCATGTCGTTTGTCACCTGCAAACTGTGACCTGCATCATCGTAATGCCCTCACCACCTGTATCCGATGGCGACTATGTGCTCACTCCCATTACATCCATTCTTTTGACTCACAGTGTCATCTTACCACACACTGTTATTCAGTTACGTGCAAACCGCGCCTTCATTCCGGTGCTCAACTTTGCTCTGTGTCCACAAGTGCTCCCGCGTGGAATTGCCCTCGCCATGCTGACTCCCACTGACAAATGCGCCATCTCAGCTCTATCTTCGAACGATGCTAGACAGTGTAGCTTCACACATGCTCGATCTTCACAAGCAAGCCAGTCTGCTGATGTTAAAGAAATGATCGCGCCAGACCTTTTGCCAGATCAAGCTGACGCACTCCTACACGTCCTTGAGTCATACTGGGACGTATTTGACTTTTGTGATTGTCCGCTTGGTCAAACCACTGTTGTAAAGCACCGCATGGACACCGGCGATGCCTCCCCTGTCCATCGGCGGCCATACCTCATATCTCCAAACGAGCGTCACATAATTCAAGCAGAAGTCGACAAAATGCTCGCCAGAGACGTAATTGAGCCATCATGTAGTCGATGGGCTTCCCCAGTAAATCTTGTCAAAAAGAAGGACAACGCTTGGCGATTCTGTGTTGACTACTGACATCTGAATAAGATTACTAAGAAAGACGTCTACCCGCTACCGCGCATAGACGACGCCCTGGATTGTCTTCAAGGCGCTAAGTATTTTTCGTCCATTGATCTAAGATCAGGGTACTGGCAAATTGCTGTCGACGACATGGATCGCGAAAAGACTGCTTTTGTCACGCCTGATGGTCTCTACCAGTTTGAAGTCATGTCGTTCGGGTTATGCAACGCTCCGGCCACCTTCGAGCTGATGATAGACTCTATTTTGCATGGGTTCAAATGGTCAATTTGTCTATGTTACCTTGACCACGTTATCATCTTTTCTCCGACCTTTGAGACCCACTTCGATCGCCTATCCTCAATACTGGCTGTTTTTCGCAATGCCGGTCTCCTACTGAACTCGTCAAAGTGCCACTTCGGACGCCAGCAACTAATCATGTTGAGCCACCTTGTCGACTTCTCTGGTGTACGCCCTGATCCCGATAACGTGCGAGTCATGCGGAACTTCCCCATTC